TTAATCACTTGCTGAACATGGTGTTTGCCAGGTCTCTTCTTTGTAAAGTTACTAATTTTCCCTTTCTAATAAAAATATTGTGGGGAGACACTTTGAGACTATATTATTATCCTGTTTGTCTTTATACCTCATGTCATGAGTTTTAACATCTATTGATGATTCTTGCCTAAAAGAAGTCTTACTTGTTTTAATCATTTCAAAATGATTGTCTTATAATTTCATCATTTCTTGTGTTACAGGGAATGCCATTGTACCTCAGCTGTTTGTCTTCTTGAAAGCAAGAATTCAGTCAAGAGACAGAGTTTGTGCAGCATAGGACAGCAAGAAGTCTATCGGTAAAAGCGAGTGCACTCCGTGACATGGAGCGGCCTGACGCAAGAGAGGGAGCAGCCTCCTTACATCATGTGAGGGTTTTTATTTCTATGGGTAGAATTGTCTTCCCCTTGCCCTCTCTGTTATCTTTCTCTGCTGAGATGTCCTGTCCTCTCCTTTGGTTCTCAAGGTTGCTTCTCAGGGCGTAAGCATGAACTTGTAATTTTCCCATGATTTGAGAAGCTTATTAAAAATGGTCCTGAAAAGCAGGATGTATATTCTGATAAGCAGGATGGTTTCCCTCCCCGCTAGCATTTTTTTCTTCTTCTAACGATGTATCTTGTTCTCAATATCTTGCTGAGCAAGCAAGGTGTTTGTGCCTTGAGTGAGAGCAGCTGCCAGGGGCCTCCTCGCTAGCGCTAGTTCCCTCCTTCTCATTTTTACCTTTCGACCTACTCTATCACTTCTACCTTTATTAACACATTTTTCTATTGCATGGGAAAACCTTGCCTTCCCTTGTATTATTTATTCATATCAGTGTGGTTCCTTAGATTCTTCTTTTATTCAGTAGGTTATAATGTATATCTATCAGTAGTTTAATTGCTCCAAATGTGTCCAGGGAGAGCCCCCTCCAGCAGGCTTTTGTGTCCTTTCTACAATCTTCATAATTTTTTTGTGTGCGCACTTCCTTACTTTTTGGTACAGTAAGGTATTGCAGGCTTTGCCATTATGTGTTAAATGAAACTAAGACATTTCTTAAGCTTATGAGTATTTATTTAATTCCAATTAATGTTGACGATTTCATAGTGCTTAAAACACTAAGTAAAATGGTTATACTTGCTGCCTTCCCCCCAGGTCTTTTCATGTGTAGTGCCTATTCCTACGTGTTGGGTCGTTGGGAAAGTCATGATGCATTTTTGCAATGAAAACCAGAAAAATACATCATGACTTTCCCAAGGACGACCCACTAGAAGGAAAGTTTGAGGACTGGTTTGTTTCCTTTTTGTTTGCAGGTGCAGACACTCATGGCTGGCTAGCTGTTGGCTCTTTTGCCTCTGTTACTGTGCATTTAAAGAGCGTGAGGGCCCCTGCTCTGTGTTTTTTCATTAGGATAATGTAATTTAAATTGGAATTTAAGTTGTCTGTGTCTGAAAAACTAAGTGACTGCTGCCTTCATGTTGACAGTGATTCAGGAGCTCATAAGCCACCTTGTGACACCTTTGAAAACATAGCACATGAGGGAAGTGACATTGATTGCCTTGGGATCTCGGGTTTACACAAGTGCAAAGGACATACAAACAAACATACCAGGTGTGCCCGTCAAATAGAAACTCCTGAGATGCTTGAAGTAAGACTTACCTTCTGTGTATTTGTTTTAATGCAAATGAGGTACATAATTAAAATCCAATTCTCAGATATAATCTATAACATCCGTGATAAGAATCAGAATGAGGCTGTTTCCAGAACCTGTACTGGTAACCATTTTGCTATGGGAGTAATTCAGTTCTGGTGGTCTCCCCTAGATTCAGGAGGAAGGTGCTGTGTGATCCTTACATCTTCACATGCGGTGTCAGTATGGCAGGAATGACACCCCTCTTTGAATATCCTAGGGGCCCCAGCTTGCTTTGCCTAGAATGTATTCTCCTTTTAGCTACCAGTGTTTGCTTCCATTGCACAATTCCCTCTCAGGGCTGAGCACTTCCGCTCAAATGTGTTTTTCTTCTCTGTCTATGCTTTAGCCAACAAATGAGAATCATTCAGAAGCGCTTGTTAAAATGCAGATTTCCAGGCCTCTTGGGCTTTTGAATGAATACATCCATGGTGTGTCCTATGAGTTTTCATTACAAAAATTATCCAGTGAGATTCGGAGGCAGGGCTCTGAAATATGAGGAATATTGCCTGAGTGATGAGGCAGCCAGGCCCCATCTCAGGTTCACAGCGAGTAAGAATGTGCAGTTTGTGTGCGTTAGGGGTGAGAGGAGGCATTGTAGCATTCTGTCTGCTTCTACACATCCATGTTGTTACTGTCAATTGTTATTAATCAATGATTGATTGATTGCATTCATTTTTGTTCATTAACAGTATGGCAGAATAATTGATTATGTATTAATTTGTGTTTTGCTATAGTGTTTTTCTTTCTCTATTCTAATTAGATAGCCAGCCCCTCTGTGATCCCTGGCCTCAGGGCACTTTGAAAGGCTGACATAGAAGCTTCTCACAATCTTTAAGCTCAATGTACAGTTTTGATGAGGAGGGGTGGCAAGAGATGACCATGTGATGACAGTGAGGGAGGAGAGGGAAAGGGAGCCTGGAGAAGTGACAGCCTCCTGGCCCTTCTCCCTGGTGAGAATGTTTTCATGCCAACCTCAGATCCATGAGAGCCTGTCTCAGTAATGAGACCTGGGCCCTGCTTGGCACCAAGCATAGCATGGAAATGCACATTCACAAGCTCATTCAGACTTCCACAGGGAACCATCCATAGTGACACTAACAGAAGACTAGAGAGATTCTTTCCCATTTGCCAGGCACTGTTTAGACGCTGGGAATACTTGGGTGAAGGAAACAATCATCCTACCATTGTGAACTTTACATTCCAGTGTCAGACTCTGGTGTGACCAGAGGGAGTGCCAGGAAACACCAAACATGCTAAACTTGAATTTTCTAACAGCCTAGGAGGGTAGAGATTTAAGTTGGTTTAAGAAAATAAACAAATGTTCTAGTTCTTGCATACTTGGATCAGTGCCAGCAAATTCTTGCCTGCTATAATAGTTGTCATATTTACTGCATGCTTAATACGTGCCAGGCACCATAATTTTACATGTTTTATCTTATTTTCTTTGATACTCTTAAGAACTCTGTTGAGTCATTTTCCTAATGTATAGGACCCACTCCCAACCTGTCCATCTAAATATACATCAAAGGGTAGTGTGCAAGTCCTCCCAACTTGAGCTGTATTTTGAAGATTAATTAATAGGATCCACCTGGTGTGTCTCCCCCAACCTTTCCTTAGCTCCTTTTCCTCTGCCAAGTCTTAAATCCAGGTGTTTTCCCCAAGGTTCAATCTTTGGCCGTTTTCTCTTGTCATACCACTCTCTTCCTGAGTGAGGGCAATCCTTTCCATGGCTTACATTTTTTTACATGCAAATAAGAACTGCCTTAGCTCCTGACTGGAAATTCACATTAAACATGTTAATACTGGAGCTCATTTTCTTTCCAAACCTGCTCCTCCTCCCATAGTCCTTATTTCAGTGAACAGTCCCTGTATCCGTCCAGGCACAGAAGGCAGAAATCTGGAAGTCATTTTGACTCCTCCCTGTTCCTTACATACCGTGTGAGTTATTGCCTTAAAATCTTATCTCTTACTTTCCACTCCCATTGTCAACATCTTTGTTTAAAATCTTACCATCTTTTGCTTGAACTATTGCTAAAGTCTTTTAACCGGCCTCCTCATTTCTAATCTCTGTCCTCCAGATTAGCATTGCCTAGATCTTTTCAAATGAAAACTTGGTTATTTAATCTTTCACACTAGACAACTTTGCTGGTTCCGCATTGTTTAGATTACAGTAGAAACCCATTGCCTCGGTATATCACACAAGATTCTTCGTGATCCAGCCCCAATGCAACACTCTAGTCCCTCCACCTGATCCTCTTTACCTTCCCCTTCCATCTGGCCAGGCTGAGTCCCGGCAGCCACAATTGTTGTGGATCATGCTGGTTTAGGTCTGTTGGATTGCTCATGTTATTCCTGCTCCTACAATGACCCCTATCTCCTTGTCTATTTAAAGAAAACATCATCATCATTTACTCACCACAAACATTCCCTCCTCTCTGAAGCTTTTCCTCCCATCCCCCACCCTCCAGCACTGATAATTTCCTTTTTGTGAATACCCCGCATATATTTCTCATAGCACCTACAGTATTTTGATTACACTTAACTGCTGACCTGTCTACTAGACTAGTCTCTTGATAAAATGGACTATATCTTATTCCTTTTGAATCCCAAGTGCTTAGCACTGTACTTGGTGCACAGTTACGCTGACCATACAAGTAGATTTGTGCCTGGCTTAATTAATATTGACTGCACCCTCTTTCCTTCTCAAAAGTGTCTTGTTTGGCAGGTAAATTATATATGGCCACTCTCCACATAGTACATGCTTGGTAAATGTTTGAATGAATGAATTAACGAATAGGGCTTAGTTTTCCTTAATTAGCCCTGAACCTGAGAACTTATTACTATTACAATACATATAGTGAGAATTTGAAAAAGTTAGTTGTTTATTATGTCTTTTTTCCTTACCTTCCCTCCCGCCTGATTTAATATTGTTTCAAGTTATCTTGGGCAACAACGCACTTACTTGCCTTTTGGGCTTGTTGCATGGTTTGAGAATTTGATGTAGCTTGTCTTGGTTTGTAATCACTACGAACATTTCCTGATGCCAGTCTTTGAAAAGCTCAATGAATTAATAAAAACCAGATAGCCCCGCAGTGCAGGCTGATACCCAAAACCAAATGTTGTCAGAATCACCACGCAGCCGTAGAATCATTGCCATGTTGTATCTAATTTATTACAGGTGGCGCAAAGCACTTTGTTTTGCCCAAAACAAAAATGGATTTTACTGGCTTCAACGCCCTTTCATTTGCGGACCAACCGAAATCCAGCACTACGGCCACCAGGTGTCCTCACTTCCGCCTCGTCTTCCTGGGTCTCTAACTTGTCTGGACGAGTACGGAGCGTACGCCTCCGACGCGAAGCGGCTTCGGCGGCCGGGGCGGCGAGCCCCAGAGGCGGCGGGCGGGATGAACGCGGCGCAAGGCGGAGCGGTGCGGACGCTACGGGTGCCGGGCCGCCACGGCTACGCCGCCGAGTTCTCCCCGTACCTGTCCGGCCGCCTGGCCTGCGCCGCCTCGCAGCACTACGGCATCGCGGGTGAGGCCAGACCGCGCCGCCGGGGCGGGGGCGGGTCCTAGCCGAGCCCCGGCTTCTCCCGGTCGTTGGAAAGCACTTCCGACAGTAGACAGCCCCGCGATTGAGCGCCAGGGGGAGTCGAGGAGCCGCTGTTTCCCACTCTTTGTCCAGAGTGGGTCGTTGGTCTGCAGATAGCGTCAGGTTTTTTTTCTTCCAGTTACGGTGCAGAAGTCGCATATGGAAGGTGCCTGTTGGCCCATGTCCTTATTTCTTAAGAGCGCACCGATTTCACCGACACACACCTCCAAGGCACGAGCCGCCCTGGGGAGAGTGGGTTTAAGCCTGTGCGGCCCCTCGGACCGGTCCGAACCGACCCGCAGCACTTGGAAGACGGTCTGCAGAGCCACCCCCCGTAAATTACCTGTTATTGGTCCACATTCCCCACAGTCTGCATTCGGGCTGTCAGATGCTAAATCGGATACCCCTGAGCAGACACTTCCCGCAGTTGCCGTCATGAAATTAAGTTGTGCCCTCACCTTTTGTTGTCTCAGGAATAATACATTTGCAAGCACATGTTTGGGGTTTAAGTCGTCTCTTGGCATTAGATTGAAAGGCGGGCTTCCATTCTTAATTTTTCTTTTAATTCATGTCCTAGCTATTATTTACGTACTGAAGCTATGAAACAAGTCACTGCATAATGTCAGCTCTCGATATAGTTTTTGTTTGGTCCTGCAGCCAAAAAAATAATAATGTAATTTCTAAAACCAAGAGGGAAACAAGTATTGGCTTTGTTACATTTTCACCATTAGCTCTTAATGCTTGCACATTCAGATTTACAATAACTGCCCACCAGGTTAGGCTGAAGACCCACGAGTGTGTGGCAATATTTTAAAAACTTAAAAAAAACTTAAAAGGAGTTGGTATTTTAAAATAAAAGAAAATCAGTCATGTTTAAGTAGAAGAGTTGCTTTTTCCCTTCAATCCCTATAACAAACATAACTTTTAAAATTCACTGGTCTCTTAGTAAAATAATTCATCTTTGATAGATAACTGATATATTGTGTTTAGCACTTTACCACCAAGTACGTGGCATTGCACCAGATATTTTGTTTTACAATCCCATGTTGAATGCATTTTAGATGTACTGGTGAGGCAGTGTGTTGTAGTTGGCGCAGAGTCCTTAGGATTTGTAAGCCCGATGTTTGTCACCTGTAAATAGGAATAACCCATTTGGGAGGTTTGTGTGCCTGGCACCCTGCCTGGCCACAGGATATGAACTCCAGTATCTCTGTTCTCTGTTAGAGCTGTGTCTGGATTCCAAGCTTAGGTGAGATGATAAGTTTAATAGTTAATGACTGAAGCACAATAAAAGAAAACAAATGGAGAAAACAAACTGATCATTTTGTATACATGGTCTCAATAACTTGAGAAAGAAATTTGTGGTGGTAAAATTAAGTACTCAGTGCTTGATCCCTACTTGACCTTTAGACAGCTCCCCAGCAGGTTCAATAACATGACCTCAATTTTTTTTTTCTCTGTAGGCTCTGGAACTCTGCTAATATTGGATCAAAATGAATCTGGGCTTAGAATCTTTAGAAGGTAAGGTGCTCTAATTGTTAACTTACCTGTATTCTCTGTTGCTATTAAAGCCTTGATAGAATTAGGTTGTGAATCTTTATCAATAAAGCTTTTTTTTTAGTTTCTAAATTTGCAATATAGAAGAAACTTCAGCGTTTGCATAGTATGGAATGTATTTTTGCTGTTAAGTTTGATCGTCATTTTTCTTCTAAAGTTCTTGTCTCAATGTCCATTTATAAATTATAAAACGTAAACAAAAAAAAATGAACTAGTTAGTATACTGCTGTGTGATGTTTCTGTCTTTGCTGTCTTCTTTGTAGTTTAGCTTTACTCATTCAGGAGCTAATTACCCATTTTGTAGAGTATCTAATGCCTTGGTTCCCTTTCTTGCCACATTCCGCATGTCTTGCCTGTATGAATGTTGGGCTCATTAAGGCCTCTATCCGAGTTAGTCAAAGATAGACAAAGGAAAGGAAGTGCCCTTAGAAAGTAACTACCCGCTTACAGGTCAGGTGAAAGATTTATGGGGAAAGTTGAAATTAATTGGCCTAAATTAGTATTTTAAAGCGCTGGCTGGCCCCACCTGTGAACCTCAAAAAACAAAGTGACCACCCAAGTGTGGCCGCATGCCCTCATGTAAATTGTGCTTGCTATATTTCTAGTTGGGAGACCTAATTTTAATGTAGCCTTGCAGTTTCCTAGCTGTATGACCTGCGCTATTCTTTTAACCTCTTTGAACTTGTTTGTGCATATAAGGGCCTGCTCTACTTCTCTCTCATTGTTGTGAAGAGCATGTGAGAAAATGCATGTTAAAATGTTATAAACTTTTAAAAACTGTAAAATTAATATTCTTTTAGGTTCAGCTGCCTATATAAGTAGATTTTTTCATTTTAATTTTCCTGGTGTAGCTTTGACTGGAACGATGGTTTGTTTGACGTGACCTGGAGTGAGAACAACGAACATGTCCTGGTCACCTGTAGTGGTGATGGCTCGCTGCAGCTCTGGGACACTGCCAAAGCCGCAGGGCCACTGCAAGTCTATAAGGAACACACTCAGGAGGTAGGAAGGGAACCCTTCTGGGCTTACGGTTTTTCTTTGGATGCAAACACGGGGATATGTCTTCAGGGAACAAGAAGTTTAAGCTGTCGTGTTTGTTTTACATGTTAGATGTCACTTCTTATTTGATTATTCAGACATAAAGTACCTCTTGGCCTGGAGCTGGGAAAGAAGCAAAGGTCAGGCTTCTCATTAGTCAGTTTTTTAAAAACGCCTCCAGTAGTAAACGTACTATGGCCCCAATGCCTCCAGAGGGTCCCATCGTTTTCTTTACGCTGTAAGAAGATGCCTGCCATACTCTGCCTCAAGATAGATCTAGGCAGACTTTTCACAAAGACGTCACAAGATTGCCTTTAGGCCTTCATTAAGATTCCTGAGGATATTCCAGAATATACTGGAGCAAGAGCATCAAATACTGAATATGAGGCAAAGCTCACTGAAGAAAGTTTAAGTCTAAATGTGGCACGAGTGTGTATGTGGCATAGAAAATAGTTTGGCCTTCATTTATATTAAAATACATATATATTTTTAATGAACATGATGGGAAAGACATTCTCTCTTGACGTTTTACCTTAAATGTTTTTAAATTTTCCTTGAGGTAGCAATAAATCCTTTAAATGAAAACTTACAAATTTACTTTCAAATTTGTGTCTACCACAGTTCCTGGCCCATGGAAGGCCTTCAGTAAATGGTTGTTAGATGCAAGAATATTAGTCTCTTGTGATAAAAGATTAGTTTTGTGAGGATTCCAGACATCATTTGTTAGATATAGCTGATAAAAATTAGCATTTCTAAGATTGTAACTGAAAATAATGGAAAAATTTAGTTCTTCTACTATTTTATTGTGAAGGCTCTTTGAATAAATGATCACGTTTTCTGAATCACTGAGTAGTAAGACAACTTTGGTAAGGAGGAAATTTAGTTTTTGGATGTTCAATGTAAGAATCTCCACAGGGAGGCATGTAGAAATTCAGACATTTTTTGTAGTACCTTCATGATTTTTGCCATTTTCTTATACCACTTATAGTTAACTTAATGTTTTTCTTTTATTTTTTAAAAGATTTTTTCCTCAAAATATTTTTCCTTTTTCTTAAATTTTTGGTGCCTTGTATTGTTTATCTATATGAATTCTAGGGCTATAACTAATGGATTATAAAATACCTAATTATGTTAAATAGGATATATTGATTTAATGTTTTTCTTTAAATGAGCTTTACATTGTTATTTTACTTATCCTAAAACAGTTATAGTCAAGAAACCATGGGATTGATGGCTTAGTGTGTACATTTATTCATTTTTAATGTATATTAAAATAAATATATAATGAATAAAATAAAATGTATGTGCCAGTTAAAATCATCTCTTGTACAACCAGTGGTGTGTGTAATATCTTCTGAAATACTATTCTAGAATGTTCCTCACAATGGTCTATCAGTCTTTACTTCATCTCAGTGAAATTGAATTTCACGATCTCATGTGATAACCTATTTGACTTTTAGATTGCTCTAATCGTTAGAAAATTGCCCTCTTAAGCCAAGTTCTGTCTTTCTTAGCAGCCAATTCTTGCTTCTAATGCCTTTCTCTGAAGTGGTGAGACTAAGTCCAGTTCCCCTTTTCTAGGAGAACCCTTGAAAATAGCCATCATAGCCCCTTTTAGTCTTCCCTCTTCCAGACTGTGCATTTGTAATTCCTTCAGTATGTCCTCAGATTACTTGGTCTCTACATTTTTTATACTCCTGGTGAACTCCTTTGCATACTCTTCTGTTTTTTTCATGTTGCATACCTAATTTATTCCCGAAAAATGATGATCAATGTTGAGTTTTATAAGGTTTTGCCACCATAATCTTGAGCCTCTAGTTCTAATAATATTACTTAACGTTGGCTGTACATTTTCTTCAGACATGTTTTAGTGTTGGATTACTTTAAATCCACTGGTAAAGTACTTTGATCTTTGTTATTTGAACTGCTGTTAAACTAGGTTTATATCATTCTATAAGGACATACCTTGTGTGGTTTTTTTTTTTTTTTTGGTCAGACTATATTATTCTAGGTTGTACTTCCTCATTTTCTTTTGAAATGCAATTTTTGATAAACATTTGTATCAGTTAGGAAGCTTTGGCTATTAGTATAATAGAAAACCCAACAAAAATGCATTCAACAATTAGAGTTTATTATTTCATATAACCAAGTATTTGAAGATGGAATGGGTCCAGGCTTGGTTAATTCGGGGCTTGACAATGCCATCTAATATTCAAGTTCCTCCTGCCTTTCCACTCTGTTATCCTTAGTAGGTTGTTTTTCTTCCTGTACTCCATATAGTTCCAAGTATTATCTCATCATTGAGGTCAAAGAACAAAAAAAGTGAATGACCCTATGTAGGAGCTTCTTGTAAGATTGAGAAAAGCTTCCACAGCAGATACCTCTTCATGTCTCAGTGGAAAGAAGATCATCACTTGCCCACTCCCACCTTCACCTAAATAGGATTCACCCCTGGGATGAACGAGGGACAGAGCTTTCCCAGAAGAACAAAATTAGGGTTCTCTGGGCAAGGAGTCAGCCATCACTGTGTGCCACAACATTACTTCTTGTCTTTCTCACAATGGTTAGTAAAAATCAAATGACACCAAGCAAGGTAATGAATAGAGAACTGTAGGAATCTCTTAAAGGTTATCCTCCATGAGATTGTTAAGAGAAAGACTTTCTGATGATCAGCTTAAAGCTCAGTATTACAATACCAAATATTTGGCATTTTTCATTAAAGAGAAATACAGTATTTATTCAAAATTTGTCTCATACCAAATACTCAGAAACACTTAAAAGGATTTAAAGTCATACAAGAGAGTTTTGAGGAGCTAATAAATATTTGTTGAATAAATTAAGTGAATGAGCATAGCTGATTCCAATTTTTTTTCACCAATATGTTCAGGCAAGCTGTGTTATACAATAGAATAGCAAACAATGGGTCATTTTCTCCCATGGGAGAGTGTATAGAATAAGGATGAATAGCAAGGTTTCATTCAGAATTCTGGCTCTATAACTCCCCTGCCTTGTGACCTTGGGCAAGTTACTTATTTTTCCTAAACCTTAGTCCCTTCATTTGCAAAGTAGGATAATAGTAGTTGGTGTCTTAGTGTTGTTGTGAGCTCTTAGAGCTAGCACTGAATAAATATTAGCTATTATTATTATTATTTGCTCTTATTATAATAGGGTTAGAAAAGCATGAAACAAGAATCCTCCAGTTATTCATTTCACCACTCAGTGACTGAGAAATGTCCAACAGTCAATTTTCAGATAGATAAGTAAGTACTGAAGCAAGAATGAGAAATCCAATACCTAGATCTATCTTAGGCCTTGAGGAATGAAGGTCTTAGTGAAATGAAAAAAAAGCATGGACATCATTCCTTTCAATGGCTTCTAAACTTAGCATCAAAGCAGAAATCAGATTCTTCTCTGCATTGTTTAACTGGTGTCTGCAGAAGCTTTTATGTCTTTTGAGCCCCATAAAATGCCTTTAGTTTAGACTGCTGATGCATTTATAATAGGAGTTGAAGAATAGGACATTTTTAAGAAGTTCAGTGAGAAGGAGAAAAATAACGAGAGGGTGAATTCGGAATTTTGTTTCTCTACTTCATGACTTACAGCACTGTGCTGTTGAAAGTGAGTTAAAACTGACTTGAAAGATGACATAAACTCAATGTTTATTTAAATATCTAGTTTTCAGTTTGCTTATAACAATTTTTTAAAATAGTTAAAATTTGTCTTCATTGCCAAGTAGCAAGGCTTATCAATTTGCTGAAAAATTTTAAAAGATATTTGATCCACTTCAAGTTTTTTGATCATTGGCTATAAAAACTTATCTTTGAACTAAGTGTGCAACTATTAGTATCTTGTGGAGAAAATGTATTGAAGTATACATTTTATAGTAAGGATGTGCCATGTGGTTAAGACCTTGCTTCTTTAAAAAAAAAGAATCAATTATTTACCCTTTTGATAATGATAGAAGCTGAAAAGTTTATAATGATGGGTGCCCATAAAAATGTTAATGCAGAGTACAACTACTCATGCTTTTAACACCAATTTGCTCTCTTTAGAAATGTTATGTTTAGTTATGTTTAAAGCTACATAACAGATTTGTCAACCAAAGGAATATTTTTTTCCTCCCTCCCTCCCTTCCATCTTCCCTCCCTTCGTTCCTTCCTGATTGTTTTACAAAAGCAAGGGCATAATTGACCTTGATATATTTTCTTTTGCATATTTAGTCAGGCTCAGCCATTCATTTTGGCATAGGTTACTGCAGTAAGATTTTATGATAATGTAAAATAGCACTTTGAAACTTTTCTCCCTCAAAATGTGATTGTAGAGAAAATAGTTTCTACTTATGTATCAGTTGAACCAATTTGGATTTTACTATCATTACGATGTAATATTTCTTATCCCTTTTCAATCCTATGTTTTAAAAGCATTCACTTTAGGGGGGACTTTGTGTAGTTTAAAGATTGAATTTGTATCGAAAGAGCTAGGGCTCTCCATACGGGTAGCACATGTTATGTGCCAGGCATGTGCGAGTCATGGAAGACGCAGGTGCTAATCTGGTAGTAATTCTGAGACATGCAAGAAAACCATTTAATACAACATGGTAAAGTTGAAAAGAAGTGCCAGAAGGTACACAGAGAGAGGGAACCAAGGACTGTCACAAAAAAGTTGCTACTTGAGCTGAGTCTTGGGCAACTAGTAGGTGTTTGCAGGGCAGCCGGAAAGGGAAAGGGCATTTCTGATGGAGAAGATCATCTGCAAATGGGCAGAGCTGTGAAGGAGCGTGACTGTGTTCAGGAAACCGCAGCCCTTTGTTGTGACGGGAACATCGAGTGTGTGCAGAGCAATGTGGGGAGATGCGGCAACAGAGGTGGATATGGGCCTATCCTGCTGGGCCTGAAATACCTGGCTAGGGGTTGGACTTTATGCTTTGAACTTTCAGGAGAGCGGTGGATTTGATTGTGTAGATT